AGGCCGCGCCGGCTCCTCCCTTCGCCCCCCCCCCGGGCCTGGCCGCCACTTTAACCAACTTTCTTTCTTCTCTCCGCATCCCCCTCTCCTGCCCGGCCTGCGGGGCTCAGGGGCTTCGGGTTCGTCACCTTCATGGACCAGGCCGGCGTCGACAAGGTTCTGGCCCAATCCAGACATGAGCTGGACTCCAAGACGGTGAGATGACTTCTCTCATCTCCGGGGTGCATTGGCCGGCGGAGCGGCCGCGCTCAGAGCAGCTATCGATTGTGGTGTTTGATTTCCAGTTAGAGGCTGTAAACTATCGATTACTGATAAAGATTGATCGGCCCGTTCTCCACCCCACTTATCAGCTGGTAAAGTAGCTGCTGTCTGAGCTCAGGGTTTGGTATTGATCAGTGACCGAATGTCCGGATATTGATTTGTGAATCCTTGGTTATGGTTTTCATCCTGCCCATTGATTGCGAGGCCCCTTTGAGAAGTGACCGTGGCACTCCGTGAGGTGGGACAACCGAGTACGTTTGAGGCGAGGCTTTGCCCCAGAAACGAAGGCGCGTGTGTCAAGGGAGAAGGGAGATGCTGCCTGGCCCCCGTGCGCGTGCTCGGCCTTTCCGGTGAGCACCGCTCCTTCCCCGGAGGTGCGCATCCCCCCGACACTGCTCGCTCCTTGCAGAATCCAAGGCCCTGTTTTCTTCAGCCGTAGCTGCTGCCTCTGCAGGTCTGCGTTTGCCCCTCGGTAGAGAGCGTTTGTTCCTTGTACCCCAGAGACTCTCTTGTGATTTCCCCAGACGAAGTGTTTGTAACGGTCGTGAGGGTTCAAGACTTTGTTGTCTCCCAGCGTGGCTAGTGCCTGCCCATGTGGGCCACCAACCGCCTTTCAAAACATCAGCCGTGGCTCCAGCCCTTGCTGCGCAAGTAAAAGCTGTTCAGAGAGCCCTTGGCTGGGCTCGTGGGCAGATTTTGGTAGCTCCCTGGGTCTGTGGTGTGCGATACCCACGGCTGCATTGCACGTTGGTAGCGCTGGGGAGATGTGTCGGCTGTTTTGGGGGGTGGGGGTGGAGGTCTGAGTGGGAGGTCCTTTCTCTGTAGTTTTAGTGGCTTGCCTCCTCTCGAATTCCTTTTTCTTATTGCTGCCCTGGGGGTGAAGGTGAGGGTAGGGTAGGGGGGAGCGGCGGGGGCTAGGAAGGGGTGACAGGATGAAAGAAGAAGTTCCAGCTCCAAGCGTGGACTAACGAGGAGTCCAAAAGTGTAACTTTAATTCCCGGGCGGTAGCTCAGACATCCTCCTCTTTATCCGAGCAGAATGGAGAGGGCGGGAGAGCGAGACCCCCTTTCTTAAGGTTTACGGCGTGAGTTGCAGTGAGATTTATGTCTGTTCCTGTTTAACTGCATGGATCGCTCCCTTTGATGTGTACAGGTCCTTCCTCCCCATGGGAACTCCTGGTTAAACCTATCCCAGCCTTCCTTGCTGAGGGTGGATTCCCAGGACTCTTAAACCTCATTTCTTCATGAGGGATGTAAAGTGAGTTTTGCTCTGGGGGAGGGTTATGATACAGTGTTTTGTGGAGGGCCCAGGGTTTTCGTTTTTCTCTTTCTTTTTTTTAATAGCCTGTGTAAACACGGTGTCTGATCAGCTAGTCCCGTCATTGAGTCTGTGGACTGGCGCAGACCCCTCGTGAAAAGGCAAGTGGCGGGTGTCTGTAGCAGTAGTAATCCAGAAAGCGTTTTGGGGATAGGAACGAGGTGAAATCCACGGTCTCCGTTCTTCCGTCCGAGCGGCCGCTGCCGCTTGCCTCTCTGCAGCCCGCGGCGTGGGCCGCCAGGGAGGGCAGGGAACCCCCCTGCCGCCAAGATGGGTTTGGGGGGAAGTGGG